TGTTTTTGTTTTGCTTGAAATCAAATATTAGTGTATCACCAGAAATGTCATTCCTAGGGAAATCCTTCGGTTTTCAGTGTTAGCTTGATCAAAATACAGCTACTATTTTACCAACGAATAGTGGGATTGACCGTGACATTATAACGCCCCCACGGCTGAAAAGGGGGAGCATGTTTGGTGGGACGGGGATTCAAACCCGCCACCCTCAGATTGCGTATCAATCGCCCCAACCATCTGGCCATGCCGGGTCTTTTTACCACTAATTTATTTTCGTAACTCTTTCCATGAATCTCTACAGTTTTATTGTTTGGTCATAAAGACCAGATAATCAAGACAATACAGTGAGATACAGTACCATGGTAGGTAGGGTTGCCACGTAAGATTAGAAAATAAGAGTGCAAAGGGCCGGTGGAGTTGGGATTTTTTTTTGGGGGGGGGGCAAAATACGGTTTGCCTCCTGGCGCCAGACATTATCACTACACCACATTTTATCGTTGTAAAAATATAATCACGTTTTGTGTGTTTTTTTACAACGGTAATGAAGTGCGGTTTTGAATTCGAAATTATGTTACTTTAAATTACATCGATGTGTACTGAACTTATAATTTTATTATGTATATGTACATTGAATAAAATAAAGGTGGTGCATCAGCCGACACATTTGTTTGGTTTTTCCAACGATGACTGCTTTGTTTTCAACTTGAACTTGTGAAATAACCATTCAAATACTACACCTCAGATCCAGAGCGAGCACAAGTCATTTTGTTTTACAGTGTATTCCTTGTTTATTGTTGTTGTTGTTTTAAAAAATAACTTCCACCGTGGCCACGACTTATTGTCAATATCTCTTATAATTAACTGTGTAAGTAATCACCGAGTGGCGCCACCGTCAGTGAGTTAATCGGTGCTCTCTCGAACTTTCCACGCGAGTCGAGACAATTTAACAACTTTATTACCATTATTGTTGATTTCGACCTGCTATTGTTGTCTTTTGTTACTTTATGGTAGAAGCCAAACTGTAAACGAATTGCTTTCCGTCAATAAGTATTACAAAAATACACCATCGTGACTTAAATAAAGATGAAAATATACTACTACCAGGGAGGATTAGCACCCTCCACGTTTATGATACCAAAAAAACAAGTTTTGTAGATTTGTATTTACTAATCCGATGTAGCGTCCAACCAATCATCTTGTTTCTGTTGTCTTACGAAAACATATCGAAATATTATACAAAGAATTTGTGAAGTTTTCTGCTTTTAATCTTATTCTAAAACCTACTCAATTAAACACTACAACTGTTGCAAGGTTAATTTATATATTTATTGGACTTGTTTTCTTATTAAATAAGAATTCAATTTCTTGTTGGTTTAGAAAGACAAAAAAAAGCTTGATACATTTTTGTTTTTTTCAAATCAATTTTCTTAAATTAAAACATTATTCTGTGTTTCTTATTAATTATTAAATTAAGATGTTAATCTGGGCTTCGAGCTCATTTTCTTATTAGGGTTTCAATCCGACTTTCTTATTTATCTTTTACGTGCTCTTTATAACTTGATGATATCTTAATAACGACAGATCTGGCAGTGAACGGAAAGCTGGTCTGGTACTTTAATAACGACAGATATGGTATTGAACGGAAAACCGGAAAGTTGATACGATATCTTAATAATGATAGAAGTGTAAATGAAGGGTATCAAACCGGAAAGCTGATACGATATTAACGACAGACGTGTTAATGAACAGCAACCCGAAAAGCTCAACCAACGATGGTGAAAAAAAAATTTACAAAAACAACCCAGAATAATAGCAACCACTTTATAAAATCACGACGAAATTTTCGCGAATTCACTGCTAACAATAGCCATACAAGTATGAATCACGGTGTTAATAATACGTCTGTTAACAACGAATGTTCGGATATGTGAATACGCTTAGGAAACTACAAACAGATGAGTAGAGACAGTTTTCGTCTTTTTTCCCAGTTGGTTGATGTATCTTTCTCGATGTAGAGGTGCTACGTAAGTCAATATAAATTACTGAAATCCTCCTTTGATTGGTTTCCATTATCGTTAAGCCTGATAACATATATACGAATGCAAGATTGATGCTGTTCGACGATTAAAGCATACATAGATCAACCACTTTGCATTCAGCATAGACACGTTTCAGTAGAAAACGACTCAAATAGTAGTAATTGAAATAGTGAAGTCACACGATTCCAGATGTATGCAGTAGGTACGTCATTTTTTTGCATCAATTTCGTAACATCGTATTCATCACGAATAATAATCATTTAAAACCGAATCAACACCATTTGTACCTCACACAATAAATGCATTGCAGTCAAAACAATAACGTATTTACTACATAGAATAAACACACCACAGTCACATCAACACCGTATTTACAGATAGAACGAACGCTCAAGTCAAATTAGCACCGTTTTCATCTCATAGGTTAAGCACTTAAGTCAAATCAGCATTGCATGTAGCACATAGGATAAACATTGTCAAGTAGCCAGTCAGAGTATAACTGCTTTAACGAACGCTAGTAAATAGGGAAACGTTCTTAATTCTTGTGTTTTGTCACAGATTAAATTCATGTTCCAAACATCACTCAGCTTGTGTTTATTCGCGTGAAAGGGTGTTTTGTTGGGCAATACATCAATCTAGGGTTTGGACGGTGGATTAATTCCTTTCTAACTTGATGTCAAAATACACAATAGTGAAGCCAGCAGTAAGATAGAACAATCTTATGATATCATTTCTCCTATTTAACATCATCTTTAGAATTTAACGGAGACATATAAAAAAAACACATAAGCCTTCCCTTTTTATCAGAAGTTTCTTTGTTAGCTGCAAACAAAAACAAAACTTAAAAAAAATAGTTCATAGAATATATTAGACACAATGCTCTGGTGACGTAGAAAGGAACTACAAATAAAAAATAAAAATATTCAGCATATTCTTTTTCTCTGTTTAAAAATTCAGATGCTGGATGATTACATTATTCTTTTTTTTTGTAAATGTTGTCTTTACTACAATGTAGAGCATGGTCTGAAGATTTTCAATCTTTCATCATATGTAAATAAAGACATATGACGATAAAGGTTTCATATTAAATCTCTAAAGAACACAAGCTTTCTAATAAAACTAATATGCTAACACTAATTTTATAACCATGCAAATTAAGGAAAAAAAGTTAGAATTCAAGAAACTTATAAGACCGTGATACTTGCATTTTCACACGAGTTAGATATAATAAATCTTGATAGAATATCGTACTTGAATTGACAAAGTTTCTTGTCTTACTTAAAAACCGGTGTTCACTATGCTTTTGGACAACTTAATCACGACAGATGTTTATCCGGCAGAGTGATTTGCTACTTCCTGTATCCGGTGTTTCTCACAGATACACCTGTACTTGGAGAGATATTTATCCGACAGAGAGAATCGTTATATACTGTTTACCTGGTCTTTATGATAAACCTTATGATAGATACACCTGTACTTGGAGAGATAATTATCCGACAGAATTATCTACTACTTCCTGTCCCTGGTGTTATAATTATCTTATGATAGATACACCTGTACTTGGAGAGATAGTTATCCGACAGAATGATCTACTACTTCCTGTCCTTGATGTTATAATTATCTTATGATAGATACACCTGTACTTGGAGAGATAGTTATCCGACAGTATGATCTACTACTTCCTATCCCTGGTGTTATAATTATCTTATGATAGATACACCTGCTCTTGGAGACATAATTATCTGACAGAATGATTTACTACTTCCTATCCCTGGTGTTATAATTATCTTATGATAGATACACCTGCTCTTGGAGACATAATTATCTGACAGAATGATTTACTACTTCTTATCCCCGGTGTTATAATTATCTTATGATAGATACACCTGTACTTGGAGCGATAATTATCCGACAGAATGATCTACTACTTCCTATGTATCTGATGTTTATTATAAGCCTTATGATAGATACACCTGTACGTGGAGAGATAATTATCTGACAGAATGATTTACTACTT